TGACACGTGTTGGGACACTTCAGTGATGTATTCAACAACGTTCAAATGTTATTCCACAATGTGATTGCACTTGATTCAGTAATTATTCAAATGTATAGTTCTGGACCACCCAATTATCATAATTTCAGGATTTCTGAAGACTTTACCTCACTAAGCCCCAGCTCCCTCAGAATCCAGTCCCCAAGAACTAGTGAGCCAGTTCGTTCTGTCTGCTTCAGTTGTTCTAACATATTAATTTTAGACCAAGTAGCAAGACCCTGAAAGCATTGTTTAAGAATACTTAACAAAAATTTGGCTTTATTTAGCTTAAACATTAGACAGGAATCAGCAAAAACAAACCCTGCTCTCAGAGAGAAAGGAAAAATAGTCAAAGAAGATTGGGGAGGGACTGGATGAGGTCAGATACATTCTCTGTGAAAAGGAGAAGACAAAAAGTGGGAACTTTTGGTGATTCAAATGCTGTTATAATTAGCCCCAAGGAGAAAATCTGGCATAAAGCACACAAACAGAAGCTATTTTTTATATGGCAGGTGTTGTCCCTCTTGCACTGTAATTTGTTTGCTCCAGTGCAGACAGTGTGAGATGACCACATGCAGATTTACTTCTCGAGGGTTTATCTGCAGAACATCAGAGCTAATGCATCCCAGCTGAATGTCCTGATATTGTTTTCTCACAACAATGCATTAGGTGACTGTGAGTATAGACGTGTGCCTACGTGTGTTGGTGATTGAAATGTTGTGTATACAGTGTAATACCCGTCAGTGTGCTGTCAACAATGTGCTAGTCATCGTGGAAAAACTCCAGACGCACAGACATCAGTTTTCAGACATTCCAGAGCTCCTTTTAACGCAAGACAACAGAAACCCTTCAAGAAATGCAAGTTACCTTGTGTTTTTGTATTTTGAAACTGAAACAAATTAACATCTAAAAAGAGGTAAAACGAGAGGTAATTTTGCTGTTTTGTTTTTTTTTTTAATGGAAAATGTCTCGTTGATACTCAGATACGCATATGATGCGCATATTAAATGAGAATTTGAGGAGCGTAACAGTGCTATTGAACAGCATGCTCTTACATCATCACCTGACCATGATGTTTAAAAAAAAACAATAATCTTGTAGATTTTGATGTTCAACTCTCCTATCATAAACCAGGCTCATTCTAATTTTTGTTTGCAGTTATTAAACAGAGTGTGGATCTTTTTTAGTAATTAAAACACATTTGAGACTGTGAGGTACATGTCTAGAAACTCCTGACCAAACTCCATAGATGGCCACTGTGAGCAGTTAGCTATTAAACACACACTAACTGCGGTCTCTTTTCATTTTGTCCAAAGAACATCCTTACTGGAATCATGCTTTAGGTTGAGACAGAGCTAGGGCTGGGCGATTAATTCAAAGTGGATCAAAATTTCTATTATTTTCATATCAAGTAATACAACCATCATTCAAAATCTCTCACTTGTAAAATGTAAGCATATTTACTGTTCAAACTTGTCAGTAGTCTATGAGATGAAAAAATAATAAATAAAATTATTGTTATAGAGTTAAAATGTTCAGTTAATCAATATTTTGATTTTAGACCAAATCGCCTTGTTTTAGACAGAAGTTAACATGTTCTAAACACATTTCCTTTTCAATTCTATGCATATTTCAGATTGATTGTGCTTGGGGCTTATGATGTATGATAATTGTTATAAGGCTCAATAGCTGTCGTCGGTGCTTCCTGTGTCTGTCCGCCTCATTTACACACATGGTAGTTTTAAACCTAGAGCCTGCATTGGGTCTGTGGAGATGCATAAATAATAATAACACAAACAACGTGTGCTATTTTGCGTGTTTTTATATCAGTGCTTCTTAACAAATAACGGAATAGTATTTATCTCTATAAACATATTCCCAACTATCTCTATAAACGGATTCTATCTTATAAACGCATTGTTAGAGCAGTGAAGTACATTCACAGAAACAATGTCTCAGATCGTATCTGGCTAATCAGGACTTTAGTGATCTCAAGAATCTTAGTCTTCAACGAGATGGAATTTTTTTAAGTTGTGACCTTAAAACAAATTTCTGAGTTTTGGCATTTTTTTGCTCATGAATCATTTTGAAGAGGTTTGCCTACAAACTCTGATGTTGGCTTGTCAAAGTACCTTTTCAACTTTTTTTTTTTTTAAATGCAGAATGGATGCCAATGTAGAATCTTTGGTTGTTATGGGGGTGTGAGTTCCCTATGCCCTTTCCCATTTATTTTCTAGGCTGTCATAAGTCAATGGTAAATATTTGACCAATTCTGGAACCAATGCTTTTGCACAGTGGCTGGTATGTTCTTGCACAGACTGATAACCTCGTCAAGTGTGGGGAGTTTGATGTATCTATGAGATTCTCAGTTAAAGTTACAGTTTTACAAAAGTTTGCCCCCATGTTAAGTCAATGGAAAAATATCATAACATTGTCAGTGACTTCCTAGAATCCCTTTAATGGTATCAGTCTGAAAAGACTTAGTAACTCAAGTCATACCAGTTTGGATGTCTTGGCAAAGTTTGCTGACTGTAGCTCAAATGGTTTGGAGTTTTTTTGTCCGAAAGCAAACGACAAATAACAAGCCAACATAATTAAAGTAACATATAGTTAAAGGTGCATGGCTAACATCAGCCCTAAATGAGATGACCTATAACAGGTGAATTTGTGTCTCCATTTTGCGTATAAGCCTGAATATGGCTGAAAACACCCACTATTAAACCTTTATTCATAAATATCTGCATAAAGTTGAGGTGATGTTTCACTCCTGTATAATTAATAACTAGCTATACACTAAGTTTGAGAGGAGACCATTAACATTTACTGTTTTCTCTTTCTGTATTGAAGTAACCTTTATGTGTCCATGGTAACTAAACCCAGAAAAAACCCTTGTCATACCAGTTAATGAGTAGGAGTTTATTGTATTAGCTGCACCAGGCTTGTCTGACATCACCAGTGGCATCACTGTAGTAAGAAAGATGGTTTATATCTATACAAGTGATGTTTTTTTCCCCTCGTTTTTAAAGATATGACCCCATCTAAAGTGAATCTGACCTGAAACCATGGCTCAATTCTACATCACGCTATAAAAATGAGTAGGCACAAAAACTGGGCTTTGAATTAAATGTTCAGTTAGATTTCATCCATTGGCATATTGTTGATTTTTTTTTCATTCTCTGGGTTAGTGGGTGTTTACTTTCTCTGGTTCTGAAGGCTTGATGGATGTGTTACAGTGGTTTTCTGAAAATGTGAATCACTGATACTGAAGACGTGCCTTTAGAAATCCTCATCTTGTGCATGTCGGTTTTCAGGTTAATCTGTAATTGATGGATTAGTCAGCCTGAAGATCAGCTGGTGGCTTTTACAAGAAATAGTTCAGCTAGAAACTCCTTAAAACTAGAAGTAGCCACAAACTGCGGTTTAGAAAATATTTCCTGGTATCAGGATCACCAGACTATGCTTCAGAAACCCATCAATGTTTCAAAAGCACAGGGACGATGTAGACCTCCTACGTTACCTCAGATAGGGGGTGTGCAGACCAGCAATCATCTGTGACAGAACTCTGAGAGAGTCTTGTAAGCTTCTCGAAACATTTTTACTTAAGAACAGATATTTTTATCCACCCATAATTGTTTTAAGGTGTATGCTGAAGATATGGAAAGGTCCTGGCAGACAAATGGTTTGTGAAATTGATTTGAATAAAGGTCTGGCTTGTGCTGATAACATGTTCAGGTGGAGCCTCCATCTCAATGGGCAGATATCTAAAATATGATATATCCTTATTTGCATTGTAAAGCGGGTCAGAGTGAATTTGTGTGTGGCGGTGTAAACCCTCACAGTGTGAAATGCTCAAGGTCTCTTCTTTTCTAAACAGATCAAGGCTGAAGTACTAGAGCTCCTCTGTTTTGATAAGTCTTACACACTGACCTTTACAGCTGTTTCAGTATCTTCTCACCCTACAAATTCCTTTTATTTGATAAAAGCTAATTATTTACCCTCTCAAAGGACAACACTCTCCTACTCTTGCAAGTGTGTGTGTGTGTGAGAGAGAGTTGTTTGTGGTTAAGTTCTTTCTCATTCTTAATTTGAATGGTTTTTATTAATTAAAGCTTTGTCTAATGCTGCACACTTTATTTGAGATTATGCCTGCAATATCAGGCACCCAGCAATTCTGATCAAAGAAACTTGATTTCATAAAAAGAAAACATTTTTATGATACTTGTTTGTAACTTTGTTGGTCTGTGATAGGAAAGCAACACAGCAGTATCGGCTACCAGCAGAACAGGTTTCTTCAGCTAAGTAATGATAGTCATCGCTATCATTTCACTGATCACGTTTACTGCAAAGTGAGAGTTTGATTGTATCGGCAGAAGCCAAAAATAAAGTAAAATGCGTGTAGGTACTATATGTTCAGTTTTGGTTGAACTTGCCTTGTGTAATCAAACATTACAAATATTTCTGTGCGCTAATTGGATATTAATGGCATCCGCCCTTCACTGTCTCTGATTGGTTTAGACCACGGTATGGGCCTAATGTGTGTCTGTTGTTGAACACCAGGGAGACTCACAGAGTTTCATTTTTTTCCCCCTCAAACGGCTGGTCACACCGATGCAACTTTAGATTTTTTTTAGCCGCACCATTGGGAATTTAGGTCGCCCACGCGACCAAATTGGTCGAACTCTAGAGCCCTGAGCTGATTCATCAATTGCACTTTTTAGATTTGAGCCAGATTTTAACACAAAACACGAGGATTCATATGGAGAATTTAATAATGAACAATAAGACATTTTATTTTTCAAAGGATGATATTCTTACTGCATTGCTGATTTTAAACAATTCTGACTACAATTTTAATCTTAATGTTAGATTCAGTAGTTAATGCTTTGATCATGGACATGTGGTTTCTGCCTTAATATCCTAATAAAACCAGTGTCTCTTTAGCATTTGGCAGATGCTTTTCTCCAAAGCGACTGATCGGTTCTTGCTTTCCGTGAGGTTTGAACCCACAATCTTTGCATTGCTAGTGCAATGTTCTATTGCCTGAGCCACAGAAAAGTATTCAACAGTTTGCGGTATGATGTAAAATGGCTTGAACAAAAACGCATTCCATTCTACTGGGATATGTCCTGAAATAACAAAAGCTTTCGATTTGAGTTCTTAACAGTTCTTTTGTTGAGAGTAACTGATCTCACTTCTGTACCTAATTCCAGGACATCACTCACTTTTGAAGCCAGATAGTTGCAGGCAAAATGGTAGACTATTGTTGACTATTCAGTATGTGGACCCTTTACATTAAAGGCCCCTACACACCGCTCTGAGTTTTTGTTCCGAAAATTTGTGCAACAATGTATCTCGATCCAAAACCATGGGCGTCTTCGGGACATACATTTGACTTAACGAGTTTTGCCAATGAAAGAGTTTCGCACTGCCATGTCGGATGGTAATGAGCTGGGAGGGATCTTTTGGAATTGCAATTATACTTCTTATTTTCAGTGGTCATTAAACAATTATTTTTGATTAAAAGAAAATCCCTGGTTGGATTTTTTTAAATCATTTATTGGGGTTTTGAACACACCTAGGCGTATTCGTGTTCAAACGGTTGATTTCCACCCGAGGTCCCCTTTAACTAAACTCTGTTAAATGGTTGAACTTTCAAGCGTCCATGCACAAATGCATTTTAGTTTACTTTGCGTCTGTGTTTAAAAGTTGAAAATGCACTTATATTTTGAAAACTTGGTAATAAATATCAATTCTTTGCTTTAGTCTTTTACATTTTTTTATTTTAATCAAAATAAATGTTTTAAAAGCCAAATTTAAATTGGTTATGTTCAGTTGGTTCTGTGTTTTAGTGATTGACATCCAGTTTGCTGTGAGATAACATTCTAATACGGCCCTAATACAGACCACGCGTTCAGATCTGTGAGCAGATCTATGACCATATGGCACTGAGGCTGGCCTTGTGTTGTCTCTAACTGCTATTGTGCTCATGCAATTTGAGTGTTTGTTTTCAGCCTTTGGGGGGTAGCGGGTGGGGGGCGTTTGTTTAATGACTGAGGTGAACAAGAACAATGCTCATGACATTTCTTATCTGCAATTAAATTACCATGCTTCATTTAAACTGGTTATAGGAATTATCTTGTTGTAGTAGCACATGACACAATAAGCTGCTCCAATTGGGTCTTTCTCACAGTAGCAAGTTGTGCGGGGCAGTGTGTTGTAGTGTTTGTGGTAAACAGCTTGTTGTTCCTCTGTAAAGGTCATTTAAATGACAGCAGTGGGCTGAGCCTCTTACTGAACAGCCCCATATGTTTTAACACTAGTTCCTGTGATGCTAATATCATGCTCCTCTTTGCTCAGTCCACCTGCAATCATATCAGAGACTTCTGCTCTAAATTCTTCAATCTTTTAAAGACTGAAAAGTAACATTTAAACAGTATCTTTTAAACAGGATGCTTTATAACCTTACAGTACCCAGTACCAAGGAGACCCCGCCCCCCTTCTGTCACACAATTGGCTGCTCTGATTAATGTGGGCACTCATCGATCAAGTTGTCAGTGTGCTGCAGTGTTTGCGTTGCTTTAATAGAGTTTTGAGTTACAGTGAGATTGTTTGTGAATACCCCACCATTCGCAAAATTTATAGCCCGATTTTCTGACTGACCCCCATTTTATTTATTTTAATATGGGTTTTAGTTGTAAAGATTCAGTTTTTTGTTCTATGAGTGGCTCTTTGCATCCAAGTTGATGCATCAGATATCATTCTTAATGTCTAAATCTGCCTTTCTCCTCCTCCAGATGAGAGAGAAGCAGTGCAGAAGAAGACCTTCACTAAATGGGTGAACTCTCACCTGGGCCGCGTAACCTGCCGGATTGGTGACCTCTACACTGACCTCCGCGATGGGCGTATGCTCATTCGACTGCTCGAGGTCCTCTCCGGAGAGCAACTGGTCAGTTTCTCTGCAGTCAGTCATTGGACTCTTGTTTTTTCTGTGGTTCCTACTGCTAATTTATACCTGCATTTTTCTTACCATCCATGTGTCCAGTTGTAACTGCTGGAATTCATTGACTTCATGCTTTGAATTTTTGTTAAATCTGGGATTTACTGGACCTACTAGATACCAATCCCTGCATTGAAAGATTTCCATTCATTCATACTAACGTACGTCGTTTTGTACGTTAATCCCTTGATGAAGAGTAACTTTGAGGGATTTTAAAAAATATCACGTATCTATTGACAAAAACATGATTTGTACAGAACTTTAGGGTTATAGCTTTTAAATTGATACAACATGCTTTCCAGAGAATCATAAAAACATTTTTTAAAAGTCCAACATGATCAAAAAAAATTGAATAAAGAACCATAAAGTAATCGTTGCTAGTGTTAAAAGTTTTCAGGTCCTAACTAGTTGCAGTATTTCATTTTTTATTAAAAAAAATGTTTTTCTTTATAAAGAGTGCAATTTATTTAAAATATCACCCAAATGTGTCACTTTTATTTATTTTATGCAAGAATTCTATTGTGTATTGGCAGCTTTTCAAAATAAAGATTATGTAAGTTCTTATTTTTTTGTACCGAACCGAACTCTCCAAGACACTGTACCGAACCGAATACGATTTTAGCGTACCGTTACACCCCTAATTATACATATACTGTACATATTTTGTGCCTGCAAAGTAAATGTGTATTTATATATAAAATAAAAATATAAAATATTTTTGCAAGTTTGTCAAAAGCTCCTCTATTTCATTGTTAATCAAACCCTCTTAAAAAGTACATAAATAGATGTCAGTCATTTGCAATTATTTTTTATTTTATAATTCTCTCTGAATGTTCAGAGATGACTGCTTCTACACCCGGTGTATTAAATAGGTCTGATGGAGCTGATGAAAGCAGATGAAGTTGAAGCTTGCTTCAGGATCATTTCTCACAATGTGATCGCTTGTTTTCCATCTCTTAGCCAAAGCCCACAAAAGGCCGTATGCGTATCCACTGTCTGGAGAATGTTGACAAGGCTCTCCAGTTCCTGAAGGAACAGAAGGTTCACCTGGAGAACATGGGCTCTCATGACATTGTGGATGGAAACCACCGTCTCACTCTTGGACTAATTTGGACCATAATCCTGCGATTCCAGGTAGGAGGATGCCTTTTGAATTTTCTGAGAGATGGAGATCAATGAAACAGCAGACAGTGCTCATTTTAAATGAATGTTCTAACAGACAGATATGTGGTCAGCCTCAAATACTTTGGCACAACGTGTGATAAACTCTGTGCTCTGTTTAAATTTTCCTGTCTCTTTTTTTAACATTTATTTTGTCCTTCAGATAGCTTTATCAGTCCTCTGTGTTCGCAATAGAGTTCAATTTGCATAGCTTTGGTTGCCGGTTTATTGCGGTTTTGATAGGCTGGTACGTTTTTATTGCTCCTGCTGCAATAACCTAATTATCGAAACCTTGTGAAGCTGAGCAGACTGCTCACTCAGTCTTCATGATTCGTTTTTGAGGATGTTGTTGACTTTGTGTTTTATTCATTTGAACTGATTGAATATTTTTATCACTGACAAGAAAAGATCCTTTTTATTCATGTACAAATAATGTATCTAAATGCTTCAACAAGCTTAATGAGGTTTATGGCAGTTTGTTCAGATTCAATTACCATAATTAGAATTTATTTTGTAGTTTTTCTCTAAATATACAAAATGTGTGTTTTGCAGGTTTAAGTTTTTAGAGTTTAAAGTTTAAAGAGACAAAGTATTCTGGTCTGTTCTTACCTTTCAGTGTACTCATTTAAATCTTTTATTTATTCTAGTAAATTGTCCATGAAATAATCTGGTTCCTAAAATGCCAGACATTTTGAAAGTTCACAAAAAGGTCACTGAATAGGTAAGATAAAAAAAGTTCCTTTTTACTAATAGAATTATTTGAAAATTCTATTCTTACCAATAAATTAAAATATTATCAATTAGTTGGTAAATACTGTAAAATAGGATCACGGTTTCCTAATTAATTTAAAAAGTACTAAATTAAATGTAATTCTAAAAATATGATTTTTAATTTAAAATAAATTAAAAATAAAAATTTCCTGTATTTTGGACCTTTAGAGATTAATCATATTACATAAACTGTTGATTGACGTGATTGGAGATATGAGGAAATTTGGTTGATTTCCTTCATTTTCTAAACATTGCATCAAAAGTTATTTCCTTTTCTTCATTGTCCTGTAACTAATCCCAGCCTTGTGCAAGTCTACAGTTTTGTTCCTGGTGTCCATATTGGGTCTTTTCTGTAGTGGATAGTGTTTGAGTGATTGAGCTTGTTAAATGTACAAAAGACAGGTGAAAAACAGATTAAATTGATCCAATTGAGGAGTGGAAGATTTTTAGACAAACTAACTAATCTATGGCTCTGGTCTTCCTGCTTGTTGGTGTCAAATAATTACCCCATGCAATGAAATGGAATAGAAATTGTTTACAAATCATCATTTTATTCACTCCTTCATAGTTGGGGTGTATCTACAATGAAAATGACAGATTTCCATTTTAATTTCAAGCTATTTAAACAAATATTTGCAACATTCTAGTTGTATGTTTTGATTAAAAAAGCACATTTTAGCCAAATTTGGCTATAAGTTCTCTTCTGGGTTTCAAATTCTGTTTAGAACGGGTCGTGTTTGTATATTTTTAAGAGAAACATCATGGTTTACTCAAAAATGCAGTCCATGTTTCAAATATTTATGTTAAAATAATTTGTTCACAAATGAACTCAGCAGCTTTATGAACAAACATAAAAGGTCTTATAGTTGCTTCCGTGGAAATTTGCTAATTTTTTGTCTTTGATGTTTTTCATATGGTTGTGTTTTTGAAATTGCTCACATTTTTACAGTTAAAGTAACATTAGTTGTTTTAAACAGATTCAAGACATTAGCGTGGAGACAGAGGACAACAAGGAGAAGAAATCAGCCAAAGATGCTTTGCTTCTGTGGTGTCAGATGAAGACAGCAGGGTAAGAAACCGTGTGACACGACGTGTGAAGGAACACACACGAGTCCTGCTCCTGTTCAT